GGGTTTAGGGTTTAGCGCCTAATTAGGAGAGATCGTTCACATGGCGGCGTTGTCAACCCGATTCTTGTGGAAGTTCGGTTGTGGGGCATACTGAGAACACAATGGTCCAAGCTACCGGACCAATCCGATGTCGCATGCTCGCTCCGTCTGTACCAGGATGACACCCCCCTAAACCCTAAACCCTAAACGCCCTAAGCCCTAAACCCTAAACCCTAAACTCCCTAAACCCTAAACCCGAAACTCCCTAAGCCCTAAACTCACCCTATAAAGCCCTTCGGAAAAACATGCCGAAGCGTTCGTGGAGCGCCTCCACAACGCCATACAGAAATCCAAACCCTAGGCCATTTCAAGAAAACACCAAACCTCAGACCCCAAGACCCTAAACCCTCTAGGAAACGTAGACCCTAAACCCTGAGCCTTATAGCACCCTAAGCCCCAACCCTAAACCCTAACGAACCCTACACCTAAACCCCAAATGCAAGACCGGAGACCCTGCAAAAGCTTGCAGAGCCCCAAGCCCTGAACCGTAAACAAGAAAAGCCGCAAACCTAGACCCGAAACCTTAGACCTTGTGGAAACCGAAAGCCCCAAACCCTAAACCCCCGAACCCGAAATCTCAAACCGTAGCCCCAAAACTGAAACCACATAAGAACCCTGAGCCCGAGTGGCAATGCAGAAACATTCCAAAGCCTACCAAAACCCTCAAACCCCTCAGAAAAAGCTCTACACCCTAACTCTTTTCAGTGTCCATAGACAGCCCAGCGCCCGGAAGCCGTGGCTCGGGCGAACCCTAAACTCAAAACCCAACACCCTAAACCCTAAACCCTAAACCCTACACCCTAAAGCCTAAACCCTCTGCCCTAATACCCGACCCCGAAGCCCGAAGACCTAAACCCTAAACCCTCAGCCCGAATACCTAAACCCTAAACCCTCAGCCCGAATGGGCCCTTATCCGTAAACCCTAAACCCTCAGCCCCAACACCCATTCCGTAGACCCTGATGCCCTAACAGCTAAACCCTAAACCCTAAGCCTTAACCCCTAAACCCTAAACCCTTTTTTGGGGGAACCCTTTGAGGCCTTTGGCAACGAAGGAGATCCTGAGGCCGGGCAGCAGTTTTTTGTTTAAGGTTTAGGGTTTAGGATTTAGGGATGCCATTCTTGTAGTCTCCTGAGTTTTAAATGCTTTTTGGAGGCTTTTGAGGGCTTCAGTCTTTTTGAAAAATGTGCTGGGGAGCTTTTCTGAAGCGCGTAGGGCTTAAGCTCGGGAGTTGAGGATGATTGATGTAGGATTTCGACGAAGCAATACGCTGCAACACATAGCAGGGATTTCCTTCATGGTCTTAACGAATACTGCGGATTGAAGGGATTCTGGGCGTTTTTTGGTGTGGCATTGGGGTGGTGGGCTTTGAGAGTTTCAGGAATGTAGATTGTTTTGTTTAAAGTTTGAGGGGTCATTGGCCCTAAACCCTAAACCCTAAACCCTAAACCCTAAACCGAATGTTGATTGTTTTGTTTACAGTTTGAGGGGTCATTGGCGTCTAGGGGTTTGGGCCGGGTTTGCCGAAGATTTATGGCTCTGGGGTTCGGGTTGTTGCAGCGCTTTGGGGTTCAATGCGGGTTGCAGCATCCCCTAAACCCTAAACCCTAAACCGCTCTTCTTTGGAGTTTGGCGCTTGGTAGGAGTCTAGGGTTGTTCAGAACATATTTTGGGGGATTGCAGGCTTTGGGCTCAAGGTGGTTGTTTTCATATGGGCTTCGGGCTCCTTCAGGATGGCTTTCGCAGCCAAGCCCCACAACCCACAAGACCCACAAGGCTCTGTGATTGTTGTCGGTTGGGGTCTACTAAGAAGTGCTTAAATAGATTGCCAGGGGCACGTCTGACGTTAGCGTTGGCCGTATACATCTATACCATCACACACAACTGTCAGCTTAAGCATGACGCCTACAACGCGAAGCCATGATTCCTAAACTCCACAACCGCACCCCTAAGCCCCATATAGCAGCACCATGACCCTAAACTCTAAACCCGCGACCCTAAACCATAAGCCCCTATGTCCTAAACCCTTAACTAAACTCTAAACCCCCAAGCCCTAAGACCTAAACCTCCAAATCTTAAACCCCTAAACCCTAGACCCCTGAACCCGTGAGCCTTACCAGGGCTACGCATATCCACAGCCTACCGGAGCTCCGCCTGCACTTCCCAAGGCGTACAAGTGAGGGTTTTTGTTGATGGGTTTAGGGCTTGCAGGGCTTTGGGGTGCAGGGTTTAGGCATTTAGGGTTTTGGGTTTGGTGTGCAGGGTTTAGGGGTTTAGGGGTTGTGGGGTTTAGGATTGGGGTTTGGGGGTTTAGGGTTGTGGGGTTTTAGGGTTTAGGGGTTCCTTGATATCCATGGACTCTTGGGATGAAAAGGTTGCTTAAATAGGATGCCTTCCACAAAATAAGCATCTTCCCTACCTAAAAGTTCCTCCATATGGGGGTTTCCGAAAATAGGGGACCCTAATATCGTACCCTAAATAGTAGGATACTGATTATAAGGACTCCAAAATAAGGTACCCCTAAATTTTCGGAAGCTCCCAAATGGATCCATGCAAGAGCTTGCGGAATAGTCCTTTCTGCAGGCTTCCTTCCCAAGGATGCCTTGGATGATTTCAAGAATTGTCCTCCTATGCCCTATAAGCCCAAAGCCCTAAACCCAAACCCCGAAACCCAAAGCCCTAAACCCAAAGCCCTAAACCGTAAGCCCTAAACCGTAAATCCTAAACCCTAAGCCCTAAACCCTAAATCCTAAACCCGTAGTCAGAGAACTGTGGAGTCTCCGGGGAGGTCAACCAGATGTGCGGTGTTGGTGTCCGAGTGTTGGGTTTCATACAGGGTCTAGTTCTTAGGGTTTCGGGTTAAAGGTTTTGGATTTCATGCAGGGTTTTTAGTGTTAAGGGTGTCGGGTTAAAGGTTTTGGGTTTCATACAGGGTTTAGTGTTTCCCGAAACCCTAAACCCTAAACCCTAAACCTTTCTCAATCTGGTCAAAGGTTTTGGGTTTCAGACGGGGTTTAGTGTTTAGGGTTTCGGGTAAACCGTTTTTGGCTCCAGGGCTCCAGCAAGTCAGATAGAAGCTTGAGAAAGTACTCAGATTTCGTACTCCTTCGCCGTCGCGCTCCTTATGATAGTCGTAAGGTAATGTCTTATGAAGCCCTGTTCTGAGGAGTACGGCACCTTAAACCCTGCACCCTAAGCCCTAAACCTTAAACCCTACACTATAAGCCCCAAACCTTAAACCCGAAACCCTACACCTTAAACCCAAAACCCTAAACCTTAATCCCGAAACTCTGAACCCTACACCTTAAACCCAAAACCCTAAACCTTAATCCCGAAACCCTGAACCCTACACCTTAAACCCAAAACCCTAAACCTTAATCCTGAAACCCTGAACACTACACCTTAAACCCTAAACTCTCCGAAACCCTGAACCCCACACATTCAGCGCTACACGCTAAACCCTATACCTTAAACCCGAAACCCTAAACCCTGCACCTTAAACCCTAAACCCTTAACCCTACACCTTTTACCCTAAACCCTGAAAGCCCTATATTGGGGCTTCTGTTCTTGGAGGGTTCCGGTGGATTTTGGGCTCCATGGTTCTCGGTCCTTCAGGGATGCAGGGTTCAAGTCTTAGTGCGTTTGTGGGCTTGGGATTTAGGGTTCGGGGCTTTGGGCTTAGGGTTGAGGGTAAGAGGTTTAGGGTTTAGGGTTTTGGGCTTAGGGTTTAGGTAAGAGGTTTAGGGCTTAGGGTTTTGGGTTTGGGGTTAGGGTTTTGGGTAAGATTTAGGGTCTTGCGATGTAGGATCATAGGGTCAAGAGTGTTGAGGTTTCGTGGCTTAGGGCGGTGCGCTCCTCTTTTTGTAAGTATCTCGAAGGACAAGACGGTTTAATGGAGACCTGAAGCCACTTGAAACTTCTGGTTGAGTGTTTCGAGTTTATGGTGTTGATATAAACCTTGGCCCTGCCAACTCGCCGTGCCCCAACATGGCCCGTTGCAATGCTGCCGTTGTCTTGCAAGTCGGCACTGCTTCCTGCATGGCATCAACCGATGATCGAAGCCTACACCCTGAAATCATTCAGCCTAATCCATGCACGCGCTTTTGAGCCCTTGACCCCAAATCCTTTTGAATCCTTTCCCCCTAAACTTGAGAAGCCCTAGACCGCAAAAGCCTTGCAGCCTAAATCGTAAACCCCACACCCTGAAACAATATCTCTGGAACGTGAGCCTTCATCTGCGAGGCTTCTACCGGAGCACTTAGACGGAAACCGACGCTGTACGCATGAAACGAGCCTCCAACTGAGCCTGGACCCGCCCCAAATCCCAAATCCCAAAGCCCTAAACCCCTAAACCCTTAAACCGTTGGTCCCAGAGCCCCCCCCTGATTCGGGGGCCGCAGTTCCTGCTTTCGCAACCCAGGTTCGCGGGTTTAGGGGTTTAGGGGGTTAGGGGTTTAGGGGTTTAGGGGTTTAGGGTTAAGGGGTTTAGGGGTTCGGGGTTTAGGAGTTTAGGGTTTGGGGTTTAGGATTTCTGAGAGTACAGGGAAAGGAAGGGTTCATCCAGTGCGTTAGCACCTAGCCCTAGCCCCTAGACCCGTACTGTTCGTGACCCTTGCCCGTATACTATCCCAGTACCCGCTCATCCTTATAAAGTAACTTGCACTGTATTTTTGCAGCATCCCTTACCTACCTACCTACCTACCTACCTACCTACCTACCTCCCTCCCTCCCTCCCTCCCTATCTACCTACCTACCTACCTAC